TTAATGTATATACATATATAATGTATAATAATTGAAATGTCACTGTATTTTTACAAAATATTAGTCCACTAAAACACAGCCAAGACAGGCCATTGGAAGTTAGCATTTTCCTACAACTCAAAATGTATTCCTGATAGTTACTTACTTCCTCTCACATTTCCAGCCTGTCCTCCCCACTTCCAATGATATATGATGTGGGTCTTCTGACCGATCTCAAAATAATTAAGAAGTGCAAGTGTGAAGAGGGCACTGGTTACGATAGGTGTTGTGTCGCGCTCCCATTGGTGGAGACCTGCTTCATAGTCATTTCCATGTGGATATGCAGAAGTGGGAGGTGGAAGGCTAGTGGCGAGCGTTGAAAATTTGTTCTGATAGAGGGCAGTACTAATTGAGAAAAACTATTTTTGAGAGGAGGTAAGTACCTATCAGGAATATATTTTCAGTGTAGGAAAATGTTGACTTTTCTTATGTGATATTAATATATGGTAATATTGATGTCAAATTTCAGATCTAGAAATTGCTTTTTTGTCTTTTTAGTTCACTTTTGAGAATTTATTGTTTCTTAATATTCTTTCTGCATGTTACAGAGATGTATTGGGGTTAGATTTTTGTTTCCTGTCTATTATGTTCCAGAAGTTGAAGTAACTCTCAGTTCAAAAACCAGCAATGAGACCTTGACAAAAAGTACGTATTAATAGTTTCAATTTGAGTTTACTTACTGATTAAGTATTATTTTATTTTATTACAAGTTACAGCTGTCTAACTTGTATCATCACAAATGTATAAGAACAGCCATATTACTGTTTCAATCCAATGTGCTTTTGCAGTTAAAGAAAGGTCAAAGCTATGGTATCCTAGGAAACAGTCAAGCACATAGCAATAACCTCTATCTTGTGGTTTTTTTTTTTTACTTATGCAGCTGCTTTACAAGTTTAACCATCAGTTAATATTGTACCTTCCACATTGATTTTATAACATTTATCTGTTGCTACTTGTGAAATATTTTGCTTAAGTGAGATTTATTTTACTATTGATATACTTGAGAATGATCAAAACACCATACTTGTTCTACAAACAAATCTTCCTTGCTGTAAAAACTGTAACTTTTAATAAAATAAAAGCCTTGCTGTAAAAACTGTAACTTTTAATAAAATAAAAGGCCTGTATGCCATGTAAGATATGAAGCAATCAGTACCTGATGAATTATTTTCAGTTTTTGTGACTTTCTCTTATACAGATATTTATTGACAGTTTTAATTGCTCTTACCCTATTTGGACTAGTCATCCAATTTCCTGATGATTTCTGTATATTACAACACATTTGTTGGAAGCTGAAGGAAAGATTTATTTTACTGTATTAAAATAATGTGTAATTACAGTAAGTTCAATACATTATATTAAAACTGTTTTGAATATGCAAGTCAGCAAGTCATGTGATATTAATTCACATTGGAATAACATGTATCAAAACTATGTTTTAACATTGAATTTTGTAGCTAGTGTGATGCCACTAAAAATGCATTGTGAAGGGTATGTGATAGCTCTTTCTGATGAAAAAAATTAATGAATTTATATTATAAAGATATGTTTAGATTTGGAATTTAAAATTTCCAAGATAGGGATATCCCTTGTACTTAATGGCATAGGAAAGCAAAGGAATTTGGATCAACTTTAGGCACAGGATGATTTAAAAAGAGAAATACAACAAATTATATCTTACCTTGGTTAACAGAATATGGCATCTTGTAACATGAGAATTCATGAACATAAAGGTCAATGTGAAAAGCTGTCATGCCCCAGGCAACAGTATGAAGCATAAACAAAAAGGATCTCTTTTTTTGAAAAGTGACAGAAATCTTGTTCACAAGTTCTTTGATGATGTACCCAGGAGAGGAAGACCATCTGTAGAAAACTTTGTGAACAGTACTTAGCAAGGGAAAAATAGCAGTACACATTGACACTAGATGAAACATGTGTGTACCTTGTTAACTGTTTTTTACAGGTCAGTGGGTGAAGAATTTTCAAAAAGTGTCACACAGCCTGTTAAAAATCTTTTCAAAGGGATTCATGATCATCACTAGATACCATGCCAGGGGCAATTTAGGGATCATGAGAATGTATGCAAGGTTTGTGTAAAGTGAACTCTACTTACTAGTACTTAAGTGTTCTGGAACCACACAGAAGTACTAGTATTGTATGGAAATGAAACAGAGTATGGGTTCATCAATATAAGGTTTCCAGTCATACCTCCTGTTCATCCATCAAGCAGCTTAAGAATGGAATGGGCATTTATTCTATTCCATATGAATATATACCAGTCTATTGAAATGGGAGCTGGGAAAATTAGATGGATTTTGGAAAGCATACAGTGTTGTGCTTTGGACACAACAGTTTACAAGGAAGCCTTTTGCAATGGAAACTATGCAGTAAGGCTATTGTCAAGATGTACCAGCAGCAGATAGAGCATGACCAAGAATGCTTAAAGATATCTGATGTTTAAATGTATACTTCTCTGGCAATTGAGAAAATCTTAAAGGGGTGGAATGGAAATCTAAAATCAGCATTTCAGAGTAAAGAACTGTCATATGATACTGACAAGTGAAGACTGAGAATTTACTTAAATATTTCATCTTGAAATTAAGCAATTAAAACTTGTATAGTATTAAAATATGAATTATAAACTACATTGTGATAATTTTACTGATATACATTGATAATAAAGTTGTTTAGCCCTGTCACAACAGACACCTGTATTTTACATGACCTTGTAACCACCATGTAACCATGGTGGTATTCCTACTATACCTCTTAAAATACTTAATGTATCTTCATGAAATTTGGCAAGCTTTCAGTAAATTTAAAAATTCTTTCATAGATAAAAAAATCAGAATTTTTAATTAAGTATTTTTACTAAAACTTTGTTCTTAATTATTTAGTGTAAGAGTGTTGACTGCTCTGAGTGCAAAATGGTTTTTATGCTAAGATTAAAAATACTTTTCTTCATCTGAAATTTTTAAATTTCATTTACATAATCCCTAAAACCTAAGCAAATATCAAATGTTTTTGTTTTGTTTTCTCAACAACTATATTTTATCTATTAGTTTCTATACTATAACTCAGGGTTGGTTGATTTGATTGACTTCATAACCACCATAAAAAAACAAATTAGGAAATAATTCTAAATTACCACTTTTCTTCTTTCTGAAATGATTGCAAATTTCAACAGAAAACCACAATTCTTTATCCTAAGTAGCTTAACTCTCTCAACACAGGTTTGGTCGATTTGACCGACCACATGATATCTTTGTACTCATTTAAAGTCTTTATAGTTTTGATACTACTAACTTTTAATATAGTATGTATATCTTCACAAAATTTTGAAGACTTTCAGTAAACATTTTAAGTCTTGCACATACAAAAAATCGTATTTTTAATAAACTAAAAAAGGTTTGTTCATGAATATCAAGTATTTTTTTACTAGTCCACTTGCAAAGTGATTTTTTTTCATCTCAAAAATCTCAAATTTCATTTGTGTAATTTCTAAAACCTATTAAATACATTTCAAATGTTTGTATTTAGTAAAAATTTATATTTTATCTGTTATTTTTTTTTACCCTAACTCTATACAAGGTTGGTCAAATTGACCAACCTTGTAACCACCAAAAAAATAAATAAATCTAAAACTGTTTTCTTTCTAGAATGACTTCAGATTGTAACATAAAACTACATTCGTTTATACTAAGTTGCTTTAAACTCGTAACAGTATACATCTATTTATACTTATATTTTTTTTGTTTTCTTGCCTTTTGTACCATGTCTAATCACTGCTATTCATGCCATTATAAGTTGTAAATCACTCAATATTGAATTACATAACCCACACGCTACTCCATGTGCACCTTCTCAAAAATTTCTATTATTATTATTCATTTTACCTAATCTAACCTAAAAGATCCATATTTTTACATTTTAGTTACTTTTATAATAATAAATGAAGAATAAACATGAAAAACGAGAATTAAAGTACTTATCCAGGTCTTTTTTTTTTTTTGCTGTTAACTGTCAATGACACTTAACCCTACTTTTATACTAATGGTAGCAATGCATATTATAGTATTAAGAGTAAGAAAAAACTATTAACAAATCCTGAAAGAGAGGATGTGACAGGTGAGTGTGGTAAGAGGGGTCTGATTTTCTATTAAATGGCTATGTAACCAAACAAGATTGAAGGCTAGAAAATTATGGTTTGTCTGATCAATGATGATTTTATAATGAGTAATTTACGTTAAATTTCGTACTTATTGGAGGGGTGGTGAATAAAATGGAGAAGAGGGGATGCCAAGAGAAAAAATGTCACATTTCTCACACTAGGGGAAATGCAGGATATTTTTAAATATTGTCTTATAGAATTAAGAACTTAAAATTTATATACTATTAAAATATGGATTATTAGGTACAATGTTATTCTGTGCTAATTAGTATAACATAAAAAAAAGTAGTTTAATTCAGTTTTGAATGTAATTCACAGAAACCTCATGACATGAACAATAAAGGATGTCCATGGCAATAAGGTTAAAGCTTATAACAGTATACATCTATTTATACTTGATTTTATTGTTTTATCCCCTTTTGAACCAAATCTAACTAATAATCTTGCCACATAATCTGTAAATCACTCAGCTAACGTGTAACTTATGTTACTCTATTGAATTATGGACCACATGGGCCACTCATGAGCATATTTCATGAAAAATGTTTATTAGTACTATTATTATTCTTTATTTTATGTAATTTAACTATATGTAACATAAGTTACGAAACATACTTACCTCTCCTGACACTATAGCTATTTCTCGATCTTCAGTGTTTCCATTCTTTCCCCCATCTAAGCCCCACTCGAATGCCCCTGGCAAATTCTAATTTGCAAAATTTTCCAACAACTTCAATGCACCCTCTTTCTAGGTACTGTATATAAACACCTCATTCAGATAATGTAATCACTTTTTCTCGACAAAGCATTTGGCATGGGTTTCTATAAACAGGAGTGCTGTGATTATTCACAATTTATGTTGCGACGTTGACGTGGTTTGCATTATTACTGTTATATTTTTGTGTATTTATAAATGATCTTAATAATAATAAAAATAATAAATAAAAATGTATCAACAGGTATGAATTCCCAAGTTAATGTTTCTACTATGGAAGCTATTGAGACCTCTTCCACCTCTGTTACTTGGTGTTTGTCAATGGCCAGGGGAAGGGTCATTCTTAGTCGAGTCTGTCCATGGTATGATCAATTATGAGATGGACACATATATGCAGACTGGGGGGTGTGTCTCTGGGGGGGGTTCTGAGGCAGCTTTTGCAAAGGACCCAGACCAGATGGGGAGAACTTAGACTCGCTTTTTCCGGCTCCTTCTTTTACTAGTGTGGCCTCAACAGAGGATCATTTTGATCAGCCACATCCAGCCCCTTTTTCTTCAGTTGGTTACTTGAGTTGGTGAGGTTTTGGGTGACTCTCCTATTACACATGACTCTACCCCTTCCATGTTGGCAGAAAGTACAATAAGTGACTACTTTGTCTTCCTCCTCCTCTTGATATTGCTGTTCATGCTGGGAGATTTGCCACTCAGTTATGTGATGGGATAACTATGCCTTGTCCCCACATTAATCGGAACAGCATG